TTGAAGATCGTATACCTATTTATCAGATATTTTTTATACATATAGTGATTCAATGTTTGTGGTAGGATAACCCCTATCACTCAGTACGGCAGCCCCATTACAACCTATATCAGCCAATAAGGCATCCCTAGCTTAGATTAAGAATCCATAAATGTACGGCCACCCTAGAAAAATACCGAAGATACGGGCACATGAAAAGTATGTAGATCGACGCTCGTTCATTCTGAATGGCGGATGAGTTGACTAAAGACGCGTTCGGAAAAGTAAATCGTCCCACCTATTTCACTCTCACATGTTTTAGCTGAATTCTGTATTTTCTGTATATAAAGCCCTCTGCAATTATGAATGTTTTGTTGGGCTACTTGGAGCTATAAATAAAGGTTGTTTCCACAAAGAATTGTGGCTTATTTTATGATTATTTACTTTACTTTTCCAAACTTCACTTCATAATCGTTATGCCCTCCGCTTGAAGGGCATGACTACTGCAGCAGTGAACAATTGTTCAGTGCATATCATTTGGTTAAAAGGATTCGTTTTACTCTTCGGTGTGGTTTGGTCTGCACACATACATCGAAGAGCAGCGGCTACCTCTGTGTGCGTGGTGTGCCGTGTATGTGTGTGTCTGCGTCTGTATGTGCAAATCAACTAATCTGCTCCCCACGGCAAAGTTACGAGAAGACCGACAATTATATCCGCTCTCTGCTCACAATTTTTGCATGTCGTAAAGTTTCTAGTGGTGCACAGAGCTCCACTCCACTTCACTTCACTCCCATTCCCATTCGCATTCCCCGCTCCCCATCCCATCCACCTCTGCGGCCCCCAGCCGGCGTTCTAACGGAACTCAAATGGCCAGCAACATACGTTAGTTGGATTTGCTGAATGCTCTTTCTCTCTGGATGGTTTTTTCCTCTTGTTTGGCGGAAATGCCCAGAATTTGTTGTGACGGAAGCTGAGGATGAGGCAGGCCTGGCATCGGTTACGGGGGAGGAGGAATCAGGTCGCTGGCTATAAAATTGTTTTGAGTAGCAAAAATCTGATTAAAATATTGCATTTGAAATGCATAAAATTGTTTGAAATCTCTCTGGCCTAATGGATATTTTCAGGTACATTTGAATGTGTATTTTGTGTGAAGAGGAAAGATATAAATCTTGGGTATTTTAGTGCGAGAAAAGAGATTATAGGAATTTTTATTAATGGCGTGCTTTCCATATATCAATCCATTCCCATAAAGGTCTCCCAAGCATAGCTTTATCTTCTATCTAAGATCCTCGATGCATCTCTCACTTGTTACCAACTGAAAGAACTCATGCCCTTAACTTCTACCCCAAAAGAGCATCTCAGTTTCGCTAGAAAATCTTGTATTTTCTCCAATTTCCAATGTTGTTGCATTCTTTCAGGAGAAGCTCTGGGTGCATGGCACGTGTATCCATCCCATGTACATATGTATGGGCGGTGTGTATCTGTGTATCTGTATCTGTGCCATGCTGTTGCCGTTGTGCCGAGTGTGAATCTGCCCTAGCATTACTGTTTGTATTGCAAAAGTTGTTGTAACTTCGTTAAAATAAGCACTCTGTTAGTTTGCCCGCTGGCTCGACGGGAAGCGGCGTCCCCTGCCCATCCCCTACCATCCCGTTCCTATCCGGGTCTATCCCTGTCCATCGGTGTGGCCTGGTCCCCCCCTTTGGAGTCTCCTCTCGTCAGGACTGGGCGGACTGCGGGGTGGCTGGGCAATGCAGCAGATTTGTCGGCGGTTTTTGCCATTACTACCATCCGGGCTACTGCCTCACGCTGCCACAATCCACATTCCCCTCCCCGATAGTTGGCACATCTGCATTAGTAATGGTGAGTGGCGGCGAGTGCCAGGCAAATTGGGTGGATTTGGATTTACCTGCACTCGTCGCCAGCTTTGACAGCCAAGTGCATACACTCAACTTATTCCCCTATCCCTCCCCAGACCTCCCTGCCGCCACATCCCCAGTAAATACATGTGGCCATAGCGCGCCAGGGAGCTAAACTTAACGTTTAGCTGCAGTCGTAGTCGTTTTTTGGTGCTCGTTCCTTGGTGGCTATTAAATTGCAGCAACTCTTAATGGAGCTCCCCCCCCCAGCTGCTGCAGCCCGAGCTGTTCATTCCTTTCGCTTTCGACTGAGATGTGGCTAAAACAATACCGATACATGTTAGGGGAAGGGCAGCAAGACCACCCCCCCGGGTAATAGCACCAGTCTCAATGGCAGTCCCTCACCGACAACTTGTACTTAGCGCCGCTTCCTTCCGCTCGACAACGGGGGTAAAACGAGAGAAAGGCGAGCAGAGACTTGCACACACGGAGAAAGGCATTCGGGGGAAGCTATCGCCGAGAAATGCTCATGGAGAAAGGCGGCGTTTTTGGGGAAGTCCGTGTACACGGGCAAACAGCTCGTTGGCAGGCAGCGCTGTCTGAAATGCAATTAAGTCGCATCGACATGCAATCTCCGGCAACGGGGTGGAAGAGAGTCCCGTCCGTGCACCATAAAGAGACTCGGCAACACACACACCCGTACACAAAAGTCTCGCGACCACACACTCCTGACGGGAGTGGGAGATGAGAAAAGCCTTAAAAGCGCTGAAAGGTTTCAGTTATCCCCTCAAAAAACAAAAACAAAAAAAAAAAGAAAGAAAACCACCAAACACACACAAGAAAGAGAACACACAAGCTGCAAAAAAGGGGAATCCGGCTTGACGAGTCGGGAAATACCCTCAAAGGAGCCTCCAAAGGAGAAGACTCGCGGCATAAATTGGTATACGATGGCGGAAAATATGCCTGTCCGTCCTGTGACTGTTGTAATGAAAGAAAGCAGGGAACCTTTTCGATCATTAAATGGGACTCAAATATAGACAAGCTAAGACCCAGAGTCACCCAATTTCTATACTTCTTTCTAGGATTTCGGTTAAAGATGACGATTACTATTGGTAGAAAGATTTATAGTACAGTTTCCAGCAGAAAAAAGTATTTAAAGAGTTTTTGAGATGACGGAAAGCAAGATTTAGATCCAGAGTCTCATTTAATAATAAACCCCAACATTAAAATAGTTTCCAGTGCTAGAGATTTAGTACCAAAATCATTATCTTACGCTTTCTTTAGAGACTTTGATTTTTTAGAGTATCAAGTTTTGAATTTAAGACCCTTTTTCCGCTTTCAATATATGAATTTTTGAGTGCATTCCACGCGTTTTCCCCTCTCGCTGCGAAACTTTCAATTGTTTCAACTCACTTACCAATCAATTCCGGGACAAAGAGTATCCGCCGATTGCAGCAGCTGCCACGCAGGATTGCAGGAGGCAGGCTGCAAGGGCAGCTGGTCGTAGTGGGTCAGGGAGCAGTCAACACACAGGATCTAGTGGCCAAAGGAATGCACTCATTGGAACACTTTGGCCCGCCGATAATCCAATTATGGGCCTGGCCAGGGGTTCCATAGCCGCGTGCTGCCTCCCTCTCGGCACACATACATATACAGACATACGTGGTATAAGCCGTGGTCCTTGCCTGGTTCCGTGTTTTCTTTCTATGGGGTTTTATGGCGGCGCAACACCTGAGGCAACCGCGTCGCCCTCCCATAATTTGCGGCAACTTATTTCGCCCGGAGTCAAGTTTCACACTAAAATGTGTAAAAGGGTCAACAGCTGCAGGAGAGACCCAGTCGTCGGTGCAGCCGTAATCCTTATTGGTGGCGGCGGCGGCGGGAGGGGGGCTAATCTCTGGGGTGTCTCGCCTGATGGGTAGGGGATGGAAAAAATAGTACACTGGGTTACTCGTGAGTGAAATATTCAGTGAGCAAAACCCAACCGATACCATAACCAATTCCCATTAGCGTGAAACACAAAGGGTTAATATTTCTAGCATTTTTTGTTTTTATATTTATTTCATATTCAATTTTTCATTCAGTATTCGATATTCATTTTCAGTTTTCAGTTTTTATTTCTTTCGGGTTTTATTTTTGTTTTTGTTTTTCACTACTTTAATTTTCTTTCTCCTGTTTTTATTTTTGTATATTTATCTTCTTCTTTTTTTTGTGTTTTTATAGCTGCTGTAGATTAATTGAAAAAACCAAATAACAAAAAAAAAGAACGAAAAATTGAATGAATAAACATAATGAAAATTCCATTCCATTTGCTATATGGTTTATATGTATGTGTATGTATGTACAATATTATTTTATAGAAATTCCTTAACGTTTTTTTATTCGAATGAAATTTCAGTTAGAAAAAAATAATTCATTACCAGCAGCTTTTTGTGTGTCTCTTTCTGTCTGTGTGTGTTTCTGGCCATATTTCATTTACCACTTTGTCCCATTGAATAGTTTATTTATTCAATATCATTATTAATATTATTATTATACTTGTGCATTTTGCATCATCGTCGTGTAAACAACTACAATTAGTATCACGATTGTCATTGTTGTAACAAAAAGAAAATAAAGAGGGGAAAAAAACATAAATGCAACGAAAAAATGTAAATCCATAAAAAGAGTTGGGAGAAAAACTCGATTACCTCTGCATCTGGGTAGGGTCTTTTCTCTGGCTTTTTTTTTTGTGTTGTAATTTATTTCGCATCGCTTGAAAATCGCTTTTCTGTCTGTTTCTGTTTCTGTGCGCGACACGATTATGCTTTTCATTATTTTAATGATAACTATTCAATTTTTATGCTCGTATGTGTATGTATTTTTTTTTTTCCAACCTTTGCCCCAAAACTGATATGTACTTATATATATGTAGTGTGTGTGTGAGTCTGTGTGTGTGTGTGGGTTAAAAATTGACTGCCCGCAAAAGTAGGCAAAAATTTGTAGTTCTAGTTCTGCTGTTAGTTGTGCACTGTTCTCTACGGTTCGTTTTAAAAAACAATTGTTAATTGCTATCCAATAACGGCTCATATTTATCGCCATAGATATATGCCTCAAATCGTATATATATATATATATATATAGATTTATTATAGTTAATGTACTTATTGGCCTTGACTATGTAAATTGTAAATTATATGCAAATATTTGTAACTAGAATTCGTTTTGTTTTTCCGTTTTGCTCCTTTAAAAATAGTTGTTTAAACTATTATTAACAACTTATGGCTCTAGTTCGGATCTAAAGTGTTGATTAACTATTCTCTAAGTGTTTGTGTGTTTGTGTGTGTGTAGGAATCATCATATGTTCGCTGGTGTGTGTGTGTGTGTGTGTATTTATCTGTGTAATCAATTGCATTAATTACCATTTATGTTGGCCAAGACACAGTCGTCATGCACTGGGCGGAGAACCTCGCGGGAGGATAATAATTTTTGGATAATTAACAAAAAGTTTCGACAACTTTATTCGGGAGTATTGTTGTGCTTGGAAGTCTTTGAGCGGAAGAAATGGTTTTTAATGAGCATCTCAATGAGTTGAGTTTATCGTGAAAAGATGAAGGAAAATTGAAATCGAAGTCCCTGCCCGGCACATGACTTGTCCCACTAATTATCTGTTTATATGTATGTATATTGTATGTATATATATATGACTTTATTGAATATAAAACTTATCAATTACGAGTGGACATAAACCGATTTGCTTGTCATTCAATTGTTTAGTATATTTATTGTTACGCGGGCCCTCTCACCATTAGCTAAATCCCAGAAATTCGTAGCTACCGATTAGAGTTAGTGTTTTATATATATATAGTATATATATTTAGTATCTACATATCATACAATCAATTGTTAGTTGAGTTACTTCAGTTGAGTCCTCCACCTTCACACACAACTTACTTGGCCGGCAACTAGAGCCAACATCAAAGGGTCATCGTCGTCATGATGGGCAGCAGCAGGGCCATGGCGAAGGACAGCAGGAACAGCCGCTGGCCGGAGCTGCTCAGAGCACTCGCCTGGCACAGCAGATCCTCGGGAAAGATCTCCAGGATGGGCAGATGACGACCCGACGTAGGATCGTGGCAGGTGTTGGCACGGGCGCGCTACAGGAAAGAGTGGATACACGTCATTAGACAGGGGGGACAAGGCATATTCCATGGAAATGTGAATGTAAAGATAGTCGCACAAAGAAAAATAATGAATATTCCAATGAAAGATATGTGCAAAAGCTTACGCGCATATCGGCAATCGATAGGGGTAACTTTTTCCCGAAAAAAAACCAAGATTTTCCATTAACAAAACAACATCAAAAGAAGGAGAGTGTTTGTGGAGAGGGTGCATCAATTACCGCACTCACCTGAACCATGCGCTTCAGGTCATCCTTTTGTATGACCTTGATCTGGGCCGACTCCCGCAGCCATCGTCGCAGCCAGTGGCCGAACCACACCAGTCCGCACTCGCACTCCAGCGGATTGTGCGAGGTGATGAGGCCACCCATAATGCTGCGAGTGCCCACGGCATCCCAGTAGCTCTTGTTCGGATAGAAACTATCGGCGGCCAGAGCATTGATGCGATTGTGTGATATGTCGATGGAGAGATGCGGCACCTCCCGGAGCGTGTAGAAAATCCCCGGCGGCAGGTCGGAGATTCGGGTGTGGGATATCTTCACTTGCAGCCGCTGATTGCGGGCGAGGCCCGTGAAGACATCGGGCGATATGGTCTGCACATTGATGCCGTACAGCTCGACGAGTCGCAGTTTCGTGTTGTTGGCCAATTTGGCGAAGAACTGCGCCCCAATGTTCGGCTCCAGGCAGTGCACTCTCAGCTGCTGGAGTCCCGGTATTCTGGCCACAATATCGCCCAGATTCGCATGGGAGCTGGCATGGAGTTTGCGCAGCGAACGCAGCTTGGAGAAGGCCTGCGGATTGGACACCTTCACGTCGAGGATGTTCAGCTCGGACAGATGCCGCAGGCTCACCAGATCGTGCAGGGTAATGCGTCGCAGGGGATTGTGGGCGAGGTCGAGGACCCTCACCGAGGGCGGCAGATGCTCGACGGCACAGCTGGCATTGATGAGCTTGTTGTGGGACACATTGACGTGTCGCAGGTGCCGCATCGAGCCCAGCGGCGACAGCTCCTGCAAGTAGTTGCCACTCACGTCCAGGTACGAGAGCAGCGGCATCTTCAGCGGCGGCAGGACATACAGTCCCATGTGATGGAGACTCAGCTTTCGGAGGCGCGGCGTGTGCACGAACACCTCGCGCAGATTGGTCGTGACCAGCGGGTTCTGCGACAGATCCAGGTTGGTGAGATTGTTCAGGAAACTGAAGGTGTTGTCCGGCAGGATGGTGATGCGATTCCGGGCCAGGCTGATGTCGTAGAGGAACTGCGAGTTGATAAACATCGAGGCATCCAGGTACTCCAGATTGTTGCGGGACATCTGGATGGACCTGAGGGTGAAGCCAATGTCCGTGAAGGCCGGCACGGGCCACACGCTCAACTGATTGTCGGCTATGTCGAGGAACTCCAGGCGCGTGTTCATGAACACCTCGCGGGGCAGAGCTCGCAAGCGGTTGGAGCTGATCTTGAGGATCCTCAGTTTCCTCAGATTCGAGAACTGTTCCACCTGCAGCTGGTCCAACTGATTGTGGCTGAGGTCCAGTTCCTGCAGGCTGTTCAGGCCCTGAAAGCTGCGGCGCCTCAAGGAGGTGAGGTTGTTGTAGGCGAGATTGAGGATCTCCAGGAATTCCAGATCACCAAACGCATGGCTCTGCAAAGCGCCCAACGAATTGTGGGCCAAATTGAGGAACCTCAGGGTATTGGCCAGGTTCATGAAACTATCCGACTTGGCCACGTGATTGTGGCTGATGTCCAGCTGGTAGATGTACATGTAGCTGCTAAGCTCATCGTCGAAGCTGGAGATGTGGTTGTGGCTCATATTGAGGCGCAGCGGAGTCGTCGCATTCGACACGTAGTGGAAGGACTTCAGCGACAAGGAACACAGCTGATTGTGCATCAGATCCAGGGCGGCCAGATTCGGCAGGACTGTGAAGGCCGCGTGCGATATGTTGACCAGCCGATTGTGGGACAGATCTATGTAGCGTAGGAACTCCAGATTGTGGAAGGCGTGACGCGCAATGGTCCTCAGACGATTCGACTGGAGGTTCAGCGTCTGCAGATCCCCCAGATTGTGAAAGGTCTGCGACTCCAGGTGCTCCAGGCCATTGTAGGACAGCTCTATCTCCACCAGATGGCTGTGGACATCGGGCATGAAGAGACCGCGGGGCAGGGCCTTCAGCTGATTGAAGCTCAGATTTATGTAGCTCAGCTCCCGCATTTGGGCAAAGGACTCGTTCGAGATGCTCTTCAGATTGTTGTTGTCCAGTCCCAGCCAAATGAGCTGCGACAGCGGCAACAAAGCGTCCAGCGGATCGAGACTCTCCAGACTTCTGGCCGGGAAGACGGCGAACGAGAGCTCCAGTATCTTCAACGATCTCGAGACATTCTCAAAGACCAGCGGATGATGGATGGTGATGTCGTTGAAGCTCAAGCTGATCTCCTGGATCTGATCGAGACCCGCAAACGAACCCAGATGCAGATGCGTGATCTTGTTGTTGCGCAGCAGTATCGTCTGCAGATTACTGCCCCACGAATCGACGGCAAATATGCCCTCGGGTATGTCCGTGATCGAGTTGTAGCCCATGTTCAGATACGAGAGCTGTGTGTAGTTCTTCAGCCCCAGAATGGGTATCATGCTGAAGTTGTTGCCACTCAGGCTGAGGACTCGCAGATTGTCGGTGTAGGAGGGCAGGTTGACCAGCTGACTGATCTCGTTGGACGTCAGATAGAGGTACTTGAGGCGATGCAGCGAGGATATGGCCACGGGCACGGTGGTCAGTCTGTTGCGCTCCAGGTCCAGGTATTCCAGGGTATCAGTCAGGCCCTCAAAGGCAGCCGGGTGCACTCGGCTGATCGCATTGAAGGCCAGCACCAGATGGGCAATCCCCGTGGCCTTGAACACTGCCGCCGGCAGCTGAGTCACGAAGTTCTGCTCCAGATTGAGCGCTCTCAAATGCACATCCGAGTAGTTCTGCTGGAAGTAGTCCGACTCGAGGCTCTCGATGCAGTTCTGTCCCAGGTCCAGGCGCTCCAAGTGCATGCGCAGCGGCCGCACTTGCAGCTCCTTCCACTGCACACTCTTCACGAGATTATCTCTCAGACTCACGATCCTCAGGCCCGGCAACTGCTCAAAGAGCTGCTGAGGGAAGATGGTCAGCAGGTTGCTGGACAAGTCCATCGTCACCAGCGATCGCGGCAGATAGTTCCCCGACACGTGGTAGATCCTGTTGTTGGACAGGTCCAGCCACAGCAGCTTCTGCAGCTGCTCAAAGGGCCGACCCAGGGCCGATCGATCCCCGGAACTGGGCGAGGGCTGATACAGCGAATTGCCCGCCTCCTGGCTGGTCTGCACGGCAGCCAAGCTCGAGGGCTGCGAGCTGTTGTCATTGGGGGCGCTGAGCTCCAATGAACCGCCATTCGGGGACACTTCGGTGATATCGTTGTCCGCCAGATGCAGAGACCGAAGTGTGTCATGCTGGGCCTCCCAATTGCCATCCAAGGTGGTGATGTGGTTGCTATGGAAACGACGAGAAGTAGAATACAAGTCAATAGAAAACTACAGATTAGGAGGCAAGCCAACCCCCGGCTCACTCGCATCTCTCGCTCGCGCGGATATGAGTTAAACTTTTTTATATAATAGACAGTTATATTCAGCTCTACGCTCATGCGAGTATGAAATCCATCTCTAAGAACTAGTCTGAACTCTCAACAATCTCAGAGAACTTCCCCAGGAAGTGCCCCCCCTCTATTCCACTTACCGTTGCGCCACTAGTCGCGTGAGTGAGTGCAATCGCTGAAGTGCCTCCAGGGGTAATTGTTGCATCTTGTTTCCTGAGATATCCAATGTCATCAGCGAATGTGTCATCGTGCTAAAGTGTGAGATGCAGATAGAGAACGTGGGTGAAAGAGATGTACATATATATGATTATCGTACGAGTGCTAGTGGCGGTGGTGGGGCAGGGTAATAGTTATCAAAAATATATATAATGCTTGCAAAGTTTGGGCAAAACTTTTCCAAAACTATCAACAGTTTCCGCTTCTGCCTGCCGCCCCCCCTTGGGTGCTTTGGAAATTGACGTGCTGCCTGCCTTTTGACATATCCTACACACAAGTCGGAAAACAAATATTTAAACTTAATTAACGCGTCGCAAGTCCCCGACCCAAGCGACCCTCTCTCCCAAACACATCCTCGCTAGGCTTCATTAATAGCCATACACACGCACTAGATACACACCCACCTATGGGAGTACCAAACACATCCATCCACACATACATACATAAATACATACATATGGAGAGTGGAGAAAAGAGACAGAGTGTTTTTGGGGTGAAGCGACGACCTCAATTATGAAAACCACGAGGTTTTCCAAACAAGCCCCACAGCCTCCTCCTCCTCCTCCGCCCCAGCCTTTTCCACCTTCCATCTTTTTGTAGTTTTTGGGGTGTTAGTGCTGGTGCTGGTTGTAGTTGTAGCTTTGTAGTCGTCGTCGTTGTTGTTGTTGTTGTTACTGTAGCCGGACTTGTTGTTTTATGCGACGAAGAATCAAACGCAAAACCAAATTTTTGCGGCTCGTTGTCGCTCCCACTTCTGTGAAATATCCTCCATCTCTCTGGCCGCTTCAGTGGTCGTCGCTTTTCATTTGCTGCTACTGTCCCTTCTCTGCTCCAGGCTCTTCCCATGCACTGGCTACAAGGTGTATTAAATAGAGGTCCGAAATGGCAACCAAAACTTGTTTTCAGACTACGATCTTGTGGATGTATGCAGAAAAAGACTAATAGGTTGACAGTTCGGCTCTGATTCAAGGTAGATTTTGTAAGAGGTAAGACAGTCTTAGAGACTAGTCTTATTCAGCATTAGGTTTCTGGGTGGCAAACAACATCGTACATCGGGTATTTATATCGGCTTCGTTTCTTGGTTACGAGCCACATATTGAATATTCCGCTCAACCGAAAGTGCTGATTGGTAAGAGGGGACCTGTGTACATATACGGGAAATCTCAAAACTCTAGTTGTATTCAGCATTAGGTTTTTGTGTGGCGAACCAAATCGTAGACAACACAATTACATCGGATATTTATATCGGCTTCGTTTCTACTCCGCTCATCCGAAAGTGCTGATTGTTGCCATTGCCAAAGAATGCCCACATTGTCTGAGCCACAAATTGAATATTCCGCTCATCCGAAAGTGCTGATTGTTGCCATGGAAAAGGAATGCCCGCATTGTCTGAGCCACATATTGAATATTCCCCTCATCCGAAAGAGCTGATTGTTGCCATGGACAAGGAATCTCCATCTCATCCGAAAGTGCTGATTGGACATGCCCACACTGTCCTGTGCTCAAATTCAAACCTGACTCAGATGGCGTCACCTTTCTATTCAATGCACCTTGTTCTGGCGCTACCTGCTCTTCTCTTTCTTTTTGTATCCACTGTCGGTGGTTAGCGGCTGTTTTCGGTTTGCGTTTTGGTCGCCATTTGCCGGTTGTCGTTTTTGTAGTTGTAGTTGTAGTTGTTGTTGTTGAATCTCCAGTCCAGTTGTCGCTTTTGTTGTTTTTCTTGTGGTCAACAACAAGTTGCGTGTATGCGTGCTTCGGTTTTGAGTAAGTGTGCGTGTGCGTGTCCATATGTGTGTGTTTGTATGCGTTTGTCATCAAAAAGTCTCCCAAGTAAATATAGGCAACATTGTATGGGTCTACGAGCAGCACATGCGAGTACATAAGTACAACCCAAGAAGCCGAGGGTTAATTCAAGTTCTTCAAAACTACTTGCACCCAAATGGAAGGACATGAAAGTGGAATTGTACTGTATCTGGGAATTCAATATTTAAGCTCATATCTGGATACAATTCTACACCTGTAGGGCATTCATTGAACATTGAATATCCATTTCTTTTGCCTGTTTTCTCGTTCGACCCTCGCTACCCATCAAACTCCCTCTCTCTTTCTCTCTCACACCCATACTGCGGGCATGTCATTCAGAAATGTATATGAAATAAGCGGACAAGTGCGCATTTAACGGCACTTTGCCACCGAGCACGCAACAAGCACGGAACAACAAACAAAAATACATTCGTACATGCATGCACACACACATATGCAGTACAGTTGTGCGTGTGTGTAATTTAGCAACATTGCATTGTAAATTATTAATTAGCAATTTTTGAAATACATAAGTACTTAAATATTTATGAGAACTTTTCCATCTGGCGTAGCCCACAGCCGAAACGGAATCGAGTCACCTCCTGAATATGCCTTTTATGGGTATTGTAAAGGTATACAAATATACCACATATGCATACACATGTATATACATACGTGGGTATTTACTATAGGTGCACATTCAACTTTAACCAGGGCCTGTTTTTGCGGTCGGAACCGGAGAGATGCTCAAACACGTGTTTGTTTAAGGTCCGCAAACGCAAATAAGCGGGGAAATCCTCTCAAATTATATTAACTTTGATGGACTCACCCAGATCCGTTGCCGGACTTTAATAATATTCAATTAAGAGTGTAAGTTGCCACAATAAAAACTTTAATTTAATTCAAATATTACTGGTTTAAGGCACACATTTAAAGTAAATATAAAAAATTAATTTATCCTGAGGGCATTACGAGGGAAACTCTAGCGAGCCGAAATACGGGTCATATTTTCAAGCAAATAAAATAAAAATATTAAAGTGATAAAAATTAAATCCTATAAAATTTCAATTTAATTTTAAAGGCGGTTTTAAGAACTGTCAAAAGATTACCTAATGCGTAGCCCTTAAAGAACTCATTAGCATATCCATAAAAAATGCCATCTTTAAGTAATTTGAATGAAAATAAAACTTTTCCAATTCGTTTAAATTTTCAGTGAATGCTGAAAGGAATGAACAAACATAAATACATACATACACACATACATATGTAGTCATGTACACCGAGAAAAATCGAATCTTAAGATCTTTTTGAGTCTTGCAATTTGTGATTTAAATTGGATAACCTTTACCTTGGCTCCATCTCGAGAGTCGCGAAGAGGTGGCTTCCTCTCTTTTCTCGCCTGGCCTCTGCTCCGTGAAACTAGCCCTTGAAACAGTTTCTGTAAGACGGATTTTCCCCCAGTGTATTATATGATTACATATAATCCGTTTCCATGCAGTATGATATATTTTTTGCCGCCCAGAGCACATTTATACTTGTCCTGATCTCTCCTTCTTACTCGAGTGGAGTTTTCTTCTCGTTTTTTTTTTGTTCCGCTGAACAAACTTTTTGATTAACTGACGCCGCACTGGCTGTGGCTGTGGCGATGGCGATGGATGATGAGATGTTAGAGAAACAGGGAGCCGGAGCCGGAGCCGGAGCAGGGGCAGAGGCAGGAGGCACTACTAGTAGGTAGATGGCACTGTGAGGATGGGTAGGTTTTAAGCACATTTGCCAGGTTTATGAGCATTAATTAGTTTGATTTAAATTCTTAATGTCGGTGGAGTGTGTAACCGTGTACCACAGATAGTCTGTCTGTCTGTCTGTCTGTCTCTCCCTCTTATGCTCTTTATGCTCATCCACTCCCCTCCGCCCTGTCTCTCCGAGAACTGCAAATAACTGTTAACTGTGGGCATCCATTTAACTTTACTAACGTTATGCGTATGTGTCTGTGTGGAGGGCGGCCGCATGTGGTTAAGGGGCGTGACCCCAACTCCGGTTACCCTTTGTGCTCGTTAAAAAATTTTCGCGTTTCATTTTGCAGCAACAAAAAAGCGCATAAGAAGATGGAAGAGTAAAAACAAAATATAACAAAAAGGAAAGGAAAACCCAAATGGCTGCCAAATGCGGTCGACTCATTCCCTCTCCTTCCCGCCACCCCACCAGTCTCTTTGGCCATCTCTTTCCCACAAACGGTTAGCAGAGGCATGGAGTTCGGGGTGGGCGAGGGGGTGGGGCAAAAAAGGGGCACGTCACCGACGACTCGGTCAAATGCCTGATGCGTTGTGAGTGCGCGTGCGGCATCATAAAAAGCTAACGAAATATGAGCTTGTATTCACTGTACTACAGTCAGCACAACAAGCACATTTCTCTGACGGGCGTGTGTTAACTTTCTCCAAAGGGTATCCTTGGGGTTAAATGGTTTTGTAATCGAGTTATTCTTCAAATAAATATGTGAAGGGGAAAGAAGGGACCCGATCTACCCTTCCAGATCGATGAGTTCTTTGAGATCTTGGGATCGCCAAAGCTCGAGCTTATTCTGTGTAATACAGGGATCTCCCAACTAAATGTTCCTGATAGAAAAGTGTCTCTAAGAATTTCCTAAGATGATAAGAGGATGGGAGTGAAGAATTTTCCAATTTTTCATATTTCCAGAATTATCGCAAAATGCTTTTATAATCAGAGCTTGTTAGAACTATTATTTTTTTTAATATAAAATATTTATTTATTTTTTTAATCTAAATATTTAATTTACAAATATTTTATAATTTTTTTTATATCCATTATAATTTTTGTAATAAAGTTAAACAAAAATGTATTTCTGATTTTTTTTATAAAAATATTTTATTTACAAATATTTTATCATTTTTTTTTATATCCATTATAATTTTTGTAAAAGGTTAAAAAAATGTATTTCTGATTTTAATGAGAAACAAATTTTATATAAAAATACTTTATAATCATAAAAAAAATTAATAAATAAAAATCATTTATCAATTTTTTAAATTTGTAACAATAATTATATTTTTTTTTTTTTAAGTAAAATTACAAATTGAAAATAAAAATTTAATTACTATATTTTTTGAACGGGAAGGTGTCTATCGTAAAGTAATATATATTTGTGATCTATCGTTTATAGCAGTTATTAATATAATAAAGTGGCAGTTTTTATCCTGATTAGATCCTTTAAAACCCCGCCAGGAAACGGTTTGAAAAGCAACAGACAGGACGAATGATCCAGATGAATGAATATACCCAAAATGCAGTCGGAAATGACATTCCCTACACCTGGACACGTAATACCCGTCTGTGTAATTAACCAAAGTTAATTTACAATGAAAAGAAAGGTATTTTTCTTTGAAATTGCAGTCTTTTAGAGTACAAATACTTTCGGTCCTGGCATATCTTTAATTTTCTGCTCTCGCTGGCTTCTCTTTGCACACGTTTTTCTCTTTTTGTGATTATTTACACTCAAACAAATAGCGCTTGAAAGTTGTTCCTTCCGTTCTTGTCCCACGCTCTCTCTCTCTCGCCTTCTCTCTCGCTCGTTTTTGTTGAATTTTCCCGCTGCGTGTGTGAGTTTGCATTTCCCGCTTGCATTTTCAGCCTGAGTGCCCCACTGCGAGCCATTCTCCGCGCAGCGCGCCCAAAATCTACCATCCACCATCCCACGCACACACATCCCAGAGCGCCGCCCCCCCCACGCTTTGTTAAACTTAATTTTACGCCTTTTTTACAACTTGCAGTTTTCCGTACGAGTGTAAAAAATATACAAAGCGCAAAAACACTCTTTACTCTTCAGACACACACACATGCCGCCGCCATATACCACACTCCACACCTCACCTCATTCTTTGGGATGAAAAACGGGTCATAGGCTCACTCGCTTTTAGTGGGTAACCTGTCCTGTCATCATTCCTCTATGGAGCAGGACCAGGTGCATGTGTGGGGGGTTCTGGGTCACCCATATGAGTCAGCACTTTCCCCCGTTCGCCCCCGTTTTCTTCTTTTACACTCACCTGAAACTCCGCTCGGATATGTCCTGCAGCTCGTTGTCGATTAGCTTCAGTGTCTTGAGGCGCAGTCCCTGGAATGTCTCATCGTCGACACTCTGCAGATGTGTGTTGGACATTTCGATATACCGCACGCTGCTGTGCATGAACTCTGTGCGAAACCAAAAGATAGCAGATAGATAGATGGGGAGATGAGATGGTGGTTAGAACGTTAAGTACATAGAGGGAGAGCTGGGAAATTGGAAGTGGTTGGATATTGGATATAGTCCTGAGCACTGGCGTAACCGCCACAAAGTGAGAGCGCGAGAGAGTCCTCGCAGCGATGAACCAACCATCAGTTCATCATTCAAATTGATTTTAAACGGCATTCGAAGCGCTTGCCATAAAAGAGGGAACACCCAGTGTACCAGGACGTGTAGCGACCCCCCATCTATGGTCCATCTTTCCCTGTCTAACGATGATGGCTTTTGTTTTGGCAGTTTTGATCGCCGACGCGTTAAGGCAAATGGGTCATCAGCGTGGCATCAGACAATGGACCGAGCGGGGAGGAGTGCACACCACGCTCGCCATATTCGAGCGCCAGCGGCACAGGACCCGGATGAGGACAAAGCCGGACCAGGACAGCCGGCAAGCAGCAGGACAGCCGAAACAAATTCCATTTCGTGTCTATGGCCAAAGACAGTGACATCTTGCTGGCGTATAACAATGAATCTTGCCCGTACTCGATTCGCTCGTTTTATTAAATTTTTATGGGCCAATGGCCAAATCGATTAGGAAGTTAACCAAAATGTTTTGAATGCCACATGAGGGGATGTGCCATGGGGGAAGAGCGAAAAAATTCAATTGCCCTTCGGGATTCTCAATTATTCATGAGAGCCGCAGAGAGAGTGAGAGAGAGCGAGCGAGATTTTGGGCCATATTTTGAGTTTATGAATGAAACCCATAAATGAAATTCTATTTAAAAATTGTTACCCCCAGAGCAGTTTTCTGCAATTTTACCCCAGAGCCAAGCGGAACTTTATCAATTGAAAACCAAACCGCACTAAAGTTCCATCAGAAATCAGTTCCATCAGCGCACTATTGGCACTATTAAATATTCCACGCAGCAGGAAACAGAACAAAAAAAAACATATGGCAAAAATAGGCAAAACATTGAGCGATTGAATTCTGCACTTTCTGTGCCATTGAATATTTATAAGAAACAATCAATTGTTGGTCAGAGATTCTGTTGTTGCTGCTGCTGGCTTTATTGTGTGGCTTTTTGATTTTTTACTATGTGCATTTTTTATTTTGGTTTGAACTGATCAAATTGATGTTTAATTATTTCGCTCCGCAGTCAAGTTTTGCGCCACGGTTTTCGCTTTTTGGTTAAACATTCAGTTCATGGCCACATCAGTCAGTCAGTCTGTCAGTCTGTCAATCGGCCGTGTGATACAATCTGTGCTCAGTCGGGCATTTCGCTTTGACTTTAACGCGGCGTATCCACGAGATACGCAGATACAAATTGGAATACCCATGCATAATGTATGCGTTTGAAAACCTGCTAACTAAAAATGGATATCCATCTACCATCCCCCCCGCCCTCCCCCCTTCTCTGACCCCATCTTTCACTCACTCAGTCACTCACTCTCTCTCTATCTCTCTCTCTCTCTAAAAAAAAAGCCGAAAATGACAATTCACAAAACAACGAACCGACAAAAAAGGAGGAAATTTTTCAATTAAAAGCGAAAAGTGCATTTTCATGTTGCACGTCAGTTGCTCTGCCAGTGCTGCGGCGTTGCCCCCCCACACCCCTCGCACTCGCACACGTATTCTGAGCAGAGCGGGAAAGACACGTCACGCCACTCGGGAAGGACACAGCACTACAAATAAAAAAAAAAAAAAAAGATATTTCTTCTATGATGGAGAAGATCTCCTGCTCCGACTGTATGCCCACGGCAGGAGCATACCAATCCACTCCTTCATGGAATGCTTAAGGTAAGGTCAGGCCATAATTTAAGTTGACAAGCATGACATGGAAATTCCCTTCGGACAGTCGTAGCGGCGTTACCATAATCAGGCTAAAACACATGGTCACCCTTGGTTGCCCTGTCTTCCTCCCTCCCCTCCCTCCCTCTCTCCCTGGTCTCTGTGTGCGTGTGTGTGTGCGTTTGTCAGGAGTTCCAATTTCATGTGAGGACTCGCCTTGGGTGACCAATTCCTTTGAGAGCAACGCCATCCACGCTTCAGGCACTCCAAGGACTCCCCGGGAGTGCTGCTCTCTGTCAGCTGCCAGCTCCTGCTCTCAGCTCCTTGCCGCTGCTGCTGTGGCCCCTGTTTAATTAACACATGCTCAACGAATCGTAATTTAATTGCGGCGTTGATGTCTCCCCCGGGCCCCCGGCTCCCCGGCTTGAGTCACATAAAAATTGAGGACCCTGCTCTGAAAGGGGGGCAATTCTGGGGAAATTCATTAAAAACCAGTCTGAAACTTATTTTATGTGCAGACGCTACTAAATAATAATTCTAAAGAATTTATTCATTAGAAAAACTCATTTCAAACAATCAAAAGTTGCTCTGCGAAAGAGAGGATTTTTATTTCTTTGGTGGACGCGAATGACGTTCATAATGAGAGCTCTGCTCTGGACAGCTCCCAGACTTTGACTTTGACAGACACTAAACGAAACTAAATCAAACTCCACTTAACTTTAAACTTCGATCTTCCATAAGTTATGGCTCTCTTTATGAAAGGGAATAGATGGATGTACTTTAAGCACAAAGATCAAGATCGAATCGCTGACAGGCTTTAAATGGTGGTTTCCCTTTACAGCAGACACCATGTGTCGATGTGTACGCCCCGTACACACGTACGGCAAACATATATTTTAGGTGGTTGGCCCGCCTACAAACAGTAGTATAAGCACAAAACAGAGCCAGCTTACATCTTAATTACATATCGCATATTAATACAATATTAATCATACGCCCTGTTGACACGCGTGTGCGCTCTCGCCCTGACCCCAAGAGCAAGGACCCAGCAAACACGTGGCCAGGCGCATTCGCCATGCAAGTCAAGCAACAATATATCCATATAGGAATATACTATATGGATGGACAGACGTGTACATATATCCGTTTATATAGGGTGTGTGTGTGCATATCTAAGCTGTTGTTGCCAGTGTTTTGTTATGAGTGGACAAACCAACCCGAAGAACCAACACCAACACCAACTACAGCACATATGGCGTTAATAAACTTCTACTAGTCCGATGCCTGAAGGGCCAAGAGCTGAAATGAACTTTGGGGGGTGGAAATGGGGCTGGCGAATGGGGAATGGGGTGTCGGAGTATGGATCCACTATGGCCACTGTTGGAGCCACCATCCGTCCATCGTACGTTTGGCTTGTATTTTATGGCCTCAAGTCAATTCTCTGACAAAATGCCAAGCATATTTATTTATTTACTCTTGCTGCCAGGCAAAGACCACTCTCTGTACGTTGTCGCCTCCACGTTTCAACATTCAACATTCACGTTCAACGCTCTCGTCTCTCGTTTTGCGTCACTTGCCAAGTGTTTATTCAACTCCCTCTCCGGGCCAACCATATACATATACATATACATATATCCGGGGGCGGGAGTGAAACTTAATAAAACAAAAAACAAACAATAAAGTGTCCGTGAAGGGAGAGAGAGCGAAGGAGATCCAAGGAGGAATGCCTAACGAGCTGTGGACACATAAAAATCCAACAATTATCTCATCAAAAGTTTCCACAAATATACATATCCATGACTTGAATTAAATCAAAGTGAGACAAAATAATTATACAAATAACAAAAAAATTCCCCAAAAAATACCGTATCAATTTAATTACAGACTTAATAAAGTAAACAAAATACTTTTGACCAAAGAATAAAATTTAAGTGTAAATAAATTTATCAGAAGCAAAACGAAAGACTTACATAATTATTGAAATAGTTATAAAATACTTGCCAATTGCTATATCAAATAACCACGAAAGGAAAAGCCACTCAAAAGTTAAAATAGTAAATAATATTCGTAATCAAATGTGCAATCTTATTGAAAACTTTACGTAAAGCTAAGCTGTCTGTCTGTCTGTCCGTAAAGGCTTACATAATAACGAAAAGATAATAGTTTTGTTGTGAAACTCTTTAGACAAACAGCGAAATATTTTCAAATGTCAAATGGCAAAGTATTTCCTAATTGTAGTATCAGCAACAGTCAAGGAAGGCAAATAAACAAAATAATAAGCCAAAGAAATATTTGCAATTATTTTACACTCGCAATAAGGTTTTATAGTCTGTCCTTAAATGCTATGGCAACAGTCGAGCAATCTTGGCATTCAAAATCTATATCTATCCCCTGAACTATTCCTTAATTCCTATTATAGACCGTAATATGTATCACCTAAACTTAGCAAGCTTGTAAATTCTTTTCTTTCCTACTCTCCTTTATTTATCCATAATTCTTTTAGTATCTAAGTGCACTATTAGCAGATAATTGTTGGTTAAATTAATAAATAAATACGGCAGATCCCCCAAGATCAGATTTTTATAATATGCATATATGTATCTGAAATAAGACCGATTGGTCAAAATTGGTTTCCATGAATTTAAAAACATCTATAATGCTCACTTGATGATGAAAATTAATTTTAAGGGAAGGAGTGATTGACAGAGAATACAGCCAGGGCTTATAGCATTTAAAAGAAATATATTTTCATATTTAAATTAAATATGTTTCCTACTAATTGCATATAATTTATTTATTTTTAAGTATTTTATATTTAGATTAAATATGAGCCGTATTAAAAAGACTTATTAATACATTTATATTTAAATCAAAGTAAATACTAATTAATTTCACTATATTTGTATTTAAAATCCGTATATTTAATTTAAATATGGTTTTTAGATAATACTATGCCATTTTCTCGAATAGATGAAGATCTCCCAGACTGTGATCAAATCTGATCATTTTGAGCAGTAATTAAATCAAAGGCAAAATTTTTCAAAAATCAATTTAAGCTTTTAATGCTGAATATTGAGAAATGGGTGACAGATGGGCTAATATTTTGTATATGATCTTATGTCTTAAACCCATCTGTAGTCCCCTTAAAATATGAGAAACACTTTATTCTTCTAAGTAATAAATATTTATAGTTTCTAATTAATATTAATTTGAGTTTTTCCCTTCAATTGTATTTAATTTCATAGCATTTCTGTCTATTTTTATGGAAAAAGCAGAGTCACTCAAAACGATATGCAAACTGTTTGCGAGAGCTCAAAAGGAGTTGAATTTCGAGTCTGCCATTGGACCAATTTCTATTCTATACCTCAACTAAAGACAGCCCTTCGGTTAACAAAAACCTAGACCCCCAACATTGCCAGCCTGTGTGCATGTGTGTCTGTGTGTGTATGTGTGTGTTGATGAAGATTACGTCAGCTGAAAAGTTATTGTTTTGGCCAGGCATTCAGGAAGGGGGCTAAAGACAGGGCAAAACCTCTCCCATAGAGAGAGCGTGGGAATAGGAAGCTTCCATTTATATCCATATAGTTTGTGTCCTGAAGCCAGCAACAAAAAAGCAAAGAAAAAAAAGGACGACACTGGACACAGGAAACGTGCGGCATGTGGGCAAACTGTCGACGTTCATTTTCGTTTTTCGGTTGCTACGAAAAATAGTTTCGGCAGGAAAATTGCGGCCAAATCGAAGAACGTAGGGCTAGCAGCAGCCCAGCCAGGCCTCTGGGCCTCTCAGCAAAATGCTTCTGGCCAAGCGTGAAAATTACCAAGGGAGAGAGCCCTACAGGGGGAGACAGAGACAAAAGAAGGGGCCCCTAAAATGAAACATTAAAAATAAATCTAAATTGCAACACAATCTATATTTTTTTTTGTTTTGTTCATTTGCCCCCATTCTTTCACATGAGCAATGGACAATAGAAATTCAACATTAAATTACGGACATACTCAGGAAGGACCAATCTGCACCCTCTGCATATTTGCTCTGTGTGGCACAGGGAACAGACAGACAGACAGACGGACAGACGCACAGAGAGATATTTTTGGAGAATTTTTAATGAATTTTTCAACTTGTCATTGAGGGGCGCATCCCCTGGTGGCTGCGGCCCCATCGTCTCTACAAGTATTTCTGGGTGCATATTTGTGCTTCCTTTTTTCGGTTGCTGCTGGACCACATGGTGACATACCAACTAGCCAACCAGCCAACTAGCCAACCAGCCAGCCAGCCATCTAGCCAGGAAGTCGCTTCGATGAGGAAGGCGGAGGCGAAGGCGGAGGCGGGGGCGGGGGCAGGGGCCGTGGCACGCAATTAGCCAGGCTGTCAACCAAAGTGTTTTCTGGGTAAAAGCAGAGAAAAAACTATGATTTTCCTTTCTCTCTTTCTGTGACTCTGACTTTCTCTTCGTTTGCATTAGAATTGCTAATTGCCAAAAGTTTTCCAACTGCAACATTTCTTCTGCTGCTCGAATGCAATCGTTGTCGTTGACATCGCCATCAACGTCGACAAAAATATATATATACATATATATAGAGACATCTGCATATTTTGTTGGCATTCATTGAAGGAGTAATTTTGAGTGGTATTAAAAATAAGAAGAGAAAAAGAATTTGATTTTTTGTGTGCTATAGAAAAAGTGTACACATTTTCCATAGAATTTTTGGCATTTAATTATCTATAATATTGGAAAGTTTGCTTATTAAAAACACTATAAAATTATACGATTCGGGTATTGATGAATATATAGAACTAATAATTTAGTATTTCATTTGCGGGCATATAATTAATTTTAATTTTTAATTTGATTATCCATAATATCGGAAAGTTTTTCATTAAGGCAAATGCCAATGCAGATGCAATTGAAAAGTTTTCCATAAGAAGCGAAGGATAAATTGCCAATGCGGAGTGGCGACTCCTCCGGCGAGAGGACCTCCAAACAAGAGACAAACTTTTCAATAGTATTCGTTCTTCCGTTCTCTCTCTCTCTCTCTCTCTCCGGTGCCGCATCCTTCTGCCAATGTCTGGCCAATTTTTGTGTGTTTTGCCAGTCAACAACTTTGTTTATTATTTTGTTTCTCTTATTTTCATTTTTTCCAACTTTTGCGGTAACTTTTTCCCCAAAAAAAAAAAAAACCGTCGAACCGACGACTCTGTGGACTCTGTGGGCGTGTCACAGTTGTTCCGAGTTTTGCGGAAGAAAAGGAACATCAGAAGGTAGTAGAATGCTAATAATTTCAACGCGAGAGATTCTCTCGCACACACACAGAGAGAGAGAGAGCAAGAGACATCGGAATGGAGGCAGAGAAGAAAGCCGCAGCAATGAGCAACATTTTTGTGGGGGCAAATGGAAATGGAAATGGGAAAACGACAATGGAACTATGGAAACTTGCCATTCATTCATTACTTAAAAAAAGAGCATAAAATAATGCTGTAGAAGAGAGTGTTTCGCGACCTTGGAGATACCTACTATGGGGGGAGAAATCTACAAAGTTAGGAGATAAAATATCAACTTTCTTGTATAAGACTTCCTATATTTTTCGAGCTGTTCTTATAAACACTATATTTTTCAGAATTAAGGCAGTCCTCTTTAGTGGATCGTTATGTAAAAAAAAGGAAAAATCTGTAGACAGTATTTAAAATTCAAGTCAGGAAGCTCCTGACTCGCTCTTGTGCTGCCAATCGTGAATATACCCTCACCCTCTACAAATAATGGGTATAAAAAACTACCGAAATTAGCGTGGAATTTGCCATAGCAATCGTTACAGAACTTTGCCCCAAAAGGCACACAACCAGAGAGAGAGACCAAACGACAGACTGCCAGCAAAAGAAGCAAATAAAATGAAATAAAATAAAACTTTATTTTTACAACTAATTGGCAAACTTAAATGTAAGATTTCATTTTGTTTGTGGCCCACGACAAAGCCGTTTGAGGCTTCATTAAAAAATTACATTCTTGCCGCTGCAGGCAGGCATAAAAGCACAAAGGAAAGGACGGGTGACAAAGGGACACCATCGAGGCAGAAGGCCAAAAGGGGACGGGGACGGAGAGGGGGAGGGGGACGGGCAGATTGCTAGCCAGGACAAAACAAAAGTCTTTTCATTACGGGCTACGTGGCCAAGGCAATTTATGACCAACTGGCAATGAAAATATTTGCCACATAAATAAGAGGGGCGAGACAGGGCTCGAGGGGGGGGACAGACACACATTGACAGCCGATGCACAGACACTCACGTGTGGCAGGGAGAATGGGGTGGGGTGGGGTTGGGGCAGGGAGAGTGGTATCTCGTGTCCTGTCTCTTACCTGGAAACTTGTACAGTGCCACCTCGTTGCAATTAATCTCAATCAGGGTGCTGGTCTCGTTGGGCAGCCCGGCGCACTGGCACATCGAGTTGAGTGGACAGGCATAGAGTATGTCCTGCTGCTGGGAGCCCAACAATGCCGCCGATCCTCGGCCTCCGCCGCCTCCTGGCGGCATTGGCGGCGGTGGTCCCCGTGCCAGGACCCTGGCCGTACTCCTCGACCATCGCTGACCTCCGCCATCGAACTGCCAGCAGTGCGTTGAGCTCACCAGACAGGAGATCAGCACTAGGTACAGGTGCATGCTGAAACCAAAAGAAAATAAGGAAGTTCCATTAGCTTCAAATACTCGGCTGAATCAGTGGTTAAGAGGGCGCTTTAAGAAAGACATCTGGCATTGGGGGCAGCACATGGAAAAATCCAGAGTGTAGAGACACCTTGGCCCTCAGGCATTTGTTTATTTGTTGCTGCTTTGCATAAATCACACGTTTGGAAAGCGAAAGCAAATGAAATGGCATAAAATTAACGTTAGTTCACACGCATCAAAGGCGCACAGTGGTTTGGGCTAAGGAAAAAAAAAATAAAACAATCTGTACCTAATCCCATACGTCCAGACAAGCCCACTGCACACAGCACTAGGTGTTGGCAATGCCTAGAGAACGCACAGCACTAGGTGTTGGCAATGCCTAGAGAAAGCGCACAGCACTAGGTGTTGGCAATGCCTAGAGAAAACACACAGAACTAGGTGTTGGCAATGCCTAGAGAAAACACACAGCATTCGTGTTGGCAATGCTAAGAGAAAAGTGGGTGGAACCAACACTATTAATAGTGTTGGTAAAGTGCGGTAAACTATGAGAGCTTCTGCGATACCAAGTCTTTTAGAGTGGTACCTCTACATCCTTGTAATTTAATTGTACATCTACACTTATCTTTCTATTCTACAGTTTTGGCTCGTCGTCCGATATTTTACTCATATTTGCGCGAGCGAACCAAGGGAGTGAGCCGGGGGCTGGCTTGCCGCCTAGTGTTGTATAAAAATGTATTTATTTGATTAAGAAATACATTCAAGCATATTTGGATTATACAATTAGAAAGTATATTGTTTGTTTCTTTTGAGCTTCTTCATTTTGTAGCGAAGTCTGTGTGTCAGCTATGATCTAGTGATACCCTGTGGTACATAATTAGCCTGCAATTGAAATTTGATTCAATTTAAACATTAAAATGTGATAACAACTTTACAAAAGCATAAACAAACCCCATTTTCCGAGGGCACAATGCCAATTAACGTGGCTCTAATTGTGTTTTAAATACTGTTGAACCAATGTAGATATTTTTGCTAAAGCGACCTCGGCTCTCCTCGAAACGACGGAGGAAGTTTTCGACTAAAAGCCTGCGACAACTCATGCAAATGAGCCGCAGTCGTGTGACACACTCTTCCTTCAGGGGGGGTGGGGGGTATATATGGCTCTCTTTCGGGCTTTCACACACACATGGCAGGCAGTGCCTAGCCTTAAAAAAAAAAGGGACCAAAGAATGGAAGGAAAGTGCGCAACCACAACACGTACGTACGTACGGCACGGGGACGAAACGGAGGCGCCTCCACAGCCACATCCACATCCACATCCACATCCATGCAGAGAAGTCGCATATAAAACATGTTTCATGTACGCTAGATGTGTGATGTTTATTTGACACGCCAAAGTATATAATAACAAATAAAAACTTTTGGCTTTGGCTTTGGCCTACCGCACCGCCAGACGACGACGTCGACGGCGACAAGGATGAAGGACGTGAGACGAAGGACGAGGACGAGTACGGCCCATTAGCACGATTGTTGAGCTTTAAGACTCCTGGCGGTTTACCTTGCCAGCGTTCGAGTGTGGGTACCGGTGTGCACCTTACGACCAGCCATAAAACTAGCGTCGAAAAATATAACCGAGCGCCGAACCGAGCCACCGACACACAGCCCCTGGCCTTCCCCCCCCCCCCCCCCCCCCCCACGCCGTCCACCCGCCGAAAAATCCGCAAGTTTTTTCAAGTCGCCTCAAAGTTTCGGGGATAAGTAAAATATATGTTATTGTGCATATAGGAATATTAATAAAATATGCTTCAAAGAGGCGGCTCTGGCACGGAAATAATAATAGGGGCTAAGCCCCTGCTGTCTGAGTGCCACATCAAAGAGCCGGCAAGGCGATGACCAGAAGAGCGGCTTATTCGACTGAGAAATAAAGAGGGAATATATTTTACAGTTAATAGGCTTTGGCCTGCAATAATGGCGATACATCAAAGAGCAGGGACACCTCTTGAAGGCCATTTGAAGGAGAAACAAAGAGGGGCAATAAGGAGTACAGGTAATACGAGTATATTTGTCGCGATACCTATTGCCTAAAAAGTAATCGATATGTGAGAAATGCATCTCTAATTAGTTATCAATTTCGCTGACAGTCGATGTGGTAGGAGTTAGAATTTTCTAGTTCAGTTTTTTCCAATTTAGAAATATCCGAATCCCTGAAGAAGAAAAAAGAATACCGGGAATCATGAACTTGAATCTTGGTCAGTGCACATATTAATCTAAAATTCTTTTGCTTGACTTTACGTTAACCAATAGACGAGCACTTCAAGCAGTCCCAGGGCCAAGAGGCAAGTTCTTCGTGCGATACTGAACACCGCAAACGCCATAAGTCGCTCGACGATGAGAATACTTCAAGGACGCGTCAAGCGCTTGACATCGAGCCAAAGAAGAGTCGGATCGAGTTTTTAAACTTGGAGAGTCTCCGTTATAGACCAAGTCGAAGCTATTATACAAAGCGACATCTGCATCGCACTGCAGGACCCAAGCCACTGGTCTCGAAGACTATGGAGGATGCTCTTGCCAAGAACCCATCTCTCGCAAAGACGCGTCGCTCATTGCTCAAAAGATTTGAGGCTACCATCGAAAAGCCAATGGAGTCGGTAGTGGCCCAATATGATCCTATCGCAGGGCTGTCCAAGACCTTGGCTAGACTTGAAATATTCCAGTCAATGGATATCGATAAGGAGGAATAACCGATTTACACACACACATACACAAATAGGTGGGGGGTGGGGGGGATCAATTTCAATAAATAAATAAATCTATTGGGCCAAATCGGAGACATTTGTCTTAATCTTTCGCCTGTTGTTTGGCCATATGTTTCGGCCACGATGTGGGGGAGGGAGGTCGGGAGGTAGGGAGGCAAAAACCAATCAGGAAGATCTTTCCATTTGCCGCCCGCCACTCTGGATGATTGTTTTTCATTATGGCAGGCAGCAGGCAGCCAGCAGCCAGCACCAGGATGGTGACAAATCGAAGTATTTTCCTTTGACCATGTAAAACAAATGATACATCATACGGTTGAGTGCGTAACCACCTTTGTGTGCACCTTCCACAGAACATACAAAACATCCACAAAGTCAAAGAAGTCGATGTCGAAGTCGAAGGATGGAGGCTGCCGGACGGACGACAAAATAAAAACGAAAAAGATAAATATGTCGTAAAAGTTTTTTATTTGCGTTTTATTTTTGTATTTTTTTTTGATACGGCAAATGTCTAGCTTGTCGGCTGACAGACGGCCAGCAAACAGGCAACGCTCTGGGCCAAGAACACAGCAGCAGGTCAGGAAGGGGGCTAAAAGTAAGAGTGGGGGGTCTAGGGGTCTATGAGACAGTCAGGAGCGACGCCTGTCACGCACACACGCCCCCCAGCTGAGGGACCCCGGCAGATGCGGGCTAGGCGGACGGACGGCTTCCATCTGACCCTCAACCTTGTCCGACAGAAACTTTTTTACAGCACAGCACAACAAAATAAACAAAATGTTTAAACAGAAACTAAGTCAAGTCAGATGAAGTTGGGATACTCTTAAAAAAAACGCTAGAGATGAGCAACAGAAAACGTTAGGTATATATTTATCTGAGGACCAAAAAGATAGAAAAAGCCAGAGCTGAGTTTTGAGGGGAAATTCGCTGGAAAGTTCATTACGAACTGGCAGGAAATGTGCAGAAATCTTAGGGATGTGTTTAAGATACAGCTAATTATCCAATTCTATGGATATTCCAAGGCAAATCAACAAAGATTGTTAAAAAATAAAGTATCTTAGGATCTGTCCTTGACATCTGCTCTTTCTCAAAGCCTAACCACTGGAACATCTGCAAAATGTATTTTGATATTAAAATTTGTATGTTAATTCGAAATTTGTATACTTTTAAACTTTTTCGGCTAAAATAAGGGCTGGGAATCTTAAAGTACAGAAATAATTCTTGACGAATCAACGTCAAGGTATCTTTAAATCTTGACATATTCGTATTCGTACGAGTATGTACGGCTCATTATTCATTCATTTGATAATACCCATAAAATGTCCGATACCCGTTTTTCCTGCATTTTAAGAGTATGCCAAAGAGCAAACTACACAATAAAGTGTCCTTCCTCTGCATCCGACACTCCCTTAGCCTTTGGGGCCATCATCTTGCCTCATTCAACAGTGAGAAAGGGAGAAGCAGATACCGGAGTTGACTGCCACGAAAAGGTCAACAAGCGGCACGAAGGCAGCCAGGCAGACCACAAGTTTTTATTACGCATATAATGCCAGCGATTTGCCCCAAAAACAGAGCTGCAGAGTCGCTCGGTCGGTCGTTGGATGGTGCGGTGGGAGGAGGGGATCACAGAGGTCTCTGCATCATTTTTATACTTTTAATTTTTTATGTCGGTGACACAGTGACATGAAATGTCAACGAGCTGCAAAACAAACAGCAGGAAGGACCTGGACACAGGACCAGGATAAATATGATGAGCGTCCTCCTTTGGGGATCTCCGGCACTCGCACTCGCACTCGCACTCGCACTGTAACGAGTAGTTGCTGGAAAACTGACTCTGAAGCTTATTGCGAAGGCAGAGGCAGCGCAGCAGCAGCGCAGCAGGAAAAAGCGTAGCATTCATTGGGGAGTCGTTGCCAGAGCCTTGCCTCGCCCCGCCCCACCCCGTCGCTTCCCTCCGCCACTCTCTGGTGAAAATTTGCGAGTTTGTGCGATAATAACATATGTAAGTTGCCTCTTCCACCATTCGTGTATCTGTGTGTGTGCGCCTGCCTGGATGTGGGTTTTAAATTTAGCCCATAAGCTGCTCCACACAGCTCCTGCTTCGCCCGCTGTTGCACTGGTGAAGGTTACGGATGAGGCAGAGCTTTTGCCCAACAACAAAACAAATAAAAATAATTTTAAGGCCGCCGCTCAGACGGGGATCAAAACTTTAAACGAACTTAACAAACTGTGAGCGTGTATTTAACGCAGCCGAACATGAAAAAGGTTGAGGTGTGGCCGACGAGCCATACCATATACCATACTCCTGTATGGTATGTATGTATCTTCAAGATACATTTCAGTTAATCGGCGTCAAGTCAATTAAGGTTGCCCCCCCCACCCCCCCGAAAAAGTTCACGAAAACTGTTTGCTTTTGTTTTTGGCTTCCTGCTTCCAGCCGGCTAAAGCGTTTGGGCGTTAGGGAAATGCTTTCCTCTATTAGAGTACAGTTTTTTTTTGTTTTGTGCAGGGCGTTGCCAGTCGGCGGAGGATTACCAGGGTTTTTCCGGCTAGTAACAATATTAGCTTTGAGGGTTCTGGGAGATGAAAGCCTGTCGAAACTTGTGTAACCAGTTTATGGCATGAATAATACAGAGTATTTATTGTTTTTGGGTATATTTATTAGCCATTCTATGGACGTCATTAACATTTAGGGTGTTGCCAGACTGGGGTTTAGCAAAGGACCCAATCTTGCTTATGGGTATGGGTATTTATTACTTAAGGATCATATATAAGAGGGATAAAACCTCAGTTTGCGAATCAATGAGCATCTCTTGAGGGGAAAAATAATGAATTTTTACTGGAATAAACACTATAACACTACTGTTTATCTATATATCCCTCATATATGTCCATTAATCTATACATTTACTCCCAACTACATTTTTTACATAAATCCAAAAACAAATAACTTCTTTAAACAATTTCCCATCATCGAATCCCCGTTAGACGCTCCACAAACTACTTCCAAGTGTGAGCCGGTCTATAGCTCTTCCACTCTCATATCACACCTTGACAGATGCAAAACGATCCATCTTTGGGGCGCTTGACTTGCACATATGCAACGGATTGGGTTTTATGAAACCATTAGCAGAGAGCGCCGCAAACTTTAAGATACATTCATCTTGTGAGGCGCTCTAAAAAATATGTTAGCCTGCAGTAAGGTATTGGCTACAATTGCTTGGCCATATAAATCACACACACACACACTCAAAGATGCATCCACACACACACACACACACATTCGCATTTCCAAAGTACAGTCAGTTCATTCAAGTGTCGTTTATCGCTTTTTGCTATTTTGGCAGCGCCTTCCGTGAAACTGGCGTTGGGTCATAAATATGCCAATTTGGCAGTGCACCCCGTCCCTGAACACCGTCCTCTCCACGTACAATCTCCTGCCACTAGCACTCCCTAACAAGGTGATTTCTTTGCTGAAACTCAAACTCTGAACCCAGCCATCCAGCCAGCCATCCAGCCAGCCAGCCAGTCAGTCAACGGGAGTCAGTCAGAACAATAAAAATAAAATTTATTACTCAAAGTTTATGGCATAGCAATAAATGTATCTTTTCTGCTGAGTATCTCAGTATCTGTATCCATAAATATGCACCCATTCGCACCTAAGTGGCGCGGATGGGGTTGGAGATGGAAAGGGGCATGGCCACAGGGGTCGCCACATGTGGCGCACTCTTATAGTTGCCTTCTGTTGAAATTATTATGTTGTTTGCCCTGCCCCCCACCCCCCTCCACCGGGTAAAAAAGGGTCGGTCCATCCTCCCAAAGCTCCAATCCGAACCCCCAAAAAACCTGGAGTACAACCCTTGATTCAAATCCCATAAAGTTGTCGAGTTGCTGTGATAGTTGTGTGCCGGCCGTTTCCATGCGGCATGGGGCAGGGGGGCACGAGGAGAAGCAGAGAACTGTTGGCTGTTGGCAATTGCCGCATCATTAATCTTACTCACGGAAACGGCGCTTAGGTCAAAGTTTTGAGTTTGGGTAATTTATCTTCGACTTGCCGCAATTATGTGCCGGTGGGAGTCGTCCCGTGCTCGCAGATAGGTGGGCGAAGAAAAAAAACGACCTAGGCAATTTCCCCAAGTCGTGACTCCAGGTCCCAGTGGCAATCCCATTCGCACCTGAACTTGAAACCTGATTGCAACAGCTTGGAGAACTCTTTAGCAAAAGGTGTAAGGCGGGAGTTCTCCTGGCAAAAGTTTGGGGATATTGAGAAGGCAACAGGTTTTGGGATCTACAGAAAAGTGTACTTTAAGATAAGACATTGTAGAATCTATGGATATAAGGACCTTCCTTACTTAAAGCGAATCCAAATATTTATAATCTAAAATTACCCACCAGCTTTGCGAAGTGGTGCTTCCAGGTCTCCAGGTCCCCAAATCCCATTTCGCATCTGAACTTGAAAAGCCGCGGATGTACGGCGGGCGAGGCCTCTTTCATCAACTCTTTCGCGAGGTCTGCTCTAATAATTCTTTCACTCAATAATTTAACAGCAATTTCGCGCCCAGAGGCACTAAAATTAAATTGAAGTGTTTACGGAAAACACATGAATTGCTTATGAACGACACAGGCGCAAAACTATCCATGGGAAATAGAAGAGAGACAGAGACAGAGGAAGAGAAAGAGACTTGCCCCCCAACCGAAGCGTGTCATGTCGTGCGGTGGGCGTGGTCGGTGTCCCACTGCGTCTGTCTGTGTGTGTGTCGGAGCTCTGTATGTATGTACGTATATTCAATGCTTATCAAGCAAATGACAGTGCAGAACCAGAAAGTTGAGGCCGACAAACACAAATGATGACCAAGCAACCCGTTAGACGGTACATTGGTACAGGAAAACTGAAAGAAATTACACATAAATAATGACCGAAGGGTGCAAAAGTAATTAATGGTGAAAAGGCGGATAATTAGTAAATGAAGAAACAACTAAATAATAACTGAATTATATGCGTACG